TTTCAGAGTCTCTTCTGACATCCATTTTGGTCTTTTCTTCCTCTTCTGACTTTGCAATGACCATTTGCACTCTTCCTGGATGATACCCTTGATATTCTCCCACAACTCATCTGGTCTTCGCTCATTAGTGTTCAAGTCCTCAAACCTGTTCCTGAGATGGTTCTGAAATTCAGGTGGGATAGACTCAAAGTCGAAGGGTGGAGGGACAGCAAACGTGAGGAAGATCCTGGATAAGATGGATTGGCTCAGTAACTGGGATAATGGGAGTAGGTGAAAATAAAATTTGCTCAAGAGCTAGAGCAGGATTCAGAGCTGTTGTACATAGGGTCGGTATGAGTCACAAGCAACTCGACATAAAACAACAGCAACAACAATCTTTACAGAAGCAAATGATCACATTTTTCCCTTTTAGAGCAGCTAGCTAACCTTTTGGTTAGTAGCCAATTGCTTAAGTACTGAGCCAGTAGGCTCAGCCCTAAGCCACTCAAGCAGAATGGAGAGAAAAAAGCTGTAGCAGAGCCCCTACTGCTTAGACCAATTAAATGATTTCTGAGGGAGGGGCCTTCAAGGGTTTAAAAACTCCTTAGATGATTCTAATGTGAAACCAAGGCTGCAATGTGGTTTTAAATAAGGCTATTTGTGTTGTTGTTTTTAAAACGTTTTATTACAGTTTAAATTAACATGTTGGTTCATTTCAGTTCCTTCACTGCCAAACCCGGGGGTGAGGGCAGGGAATATTTCAGTTTCTCTGCCTTCTCCCTTTGTCTGTGATGTTGTTGTTGTTGTTGTTAGATGCGTTGAATTGCGTATGACTCATAGTAATCCTATAAACAAAAGCTCTGAAACCTGTGCTGTCCTCACACTTCCTGACACACGAGTCCATTGCAGCAGTCACTGTGTCAGTTCACCTGGTTGAGGGTCTTCCTTTCCTTCACCGACTCTCCACCCTTCCCAGCATCACGTCCTTCTCCAAGGAACAGCTCCTCCTAGCAACATACCCTAAGTATGTGAGGTGAAGCCTCATCATTCTTGCCTCCAAAGAGCACTTGGGCCACAGCCTCTCCAAGACATAGCTGTTTGTTCTCTTGGCCATCCAGTGCTCTTCTCCAACACTATAGCTCAAAGGCGTCAGTTCTCCTTCTGTCATCTTTATTCACAGTCCAACTCTCAGATACATAGCAAGTGATAGGAAAAGTCTATTGCTTGAATCAGATGCACCTTAGTCCTCAAACTGATATCATTACTTCCCAATAATTTGGAGAGGTCCCTAACTGCAGATTTTCCTAGTGCAATGCATCTCCTTATTTTCTGACTGCTGGTATGTTGTTGTTGTTGTTAAGTGCCGTGAAGTCACAGGTGACTCATAGCGACCCTGTGAAGGAGAGTCCTCGATGCTTGGGTGCCTTTCATCCCTCTCCAGGTTCATACGGTTTCCGGAGGCAAGCTATTATGGAAGTGGACGCCACTCCTCCTTTCAAGCTTGTTTTCATCGGAGAGCTCCACCCCACTCTCTGTCTGCATTGGGTAAGCAGACTGCTGGTATAAAGGTTGTTAATTGTGAATCTAAGTAAGATGAAGCTGCTGACAGTTTCCGTCTCCTCTTCATCCATCATGTTTCCTGCCAGGTAGTGGTAAGAATCTTTGTCTTCTTGACATTGAGAAGCAATCAATCCAGAAGTCTGCATTCCTTGATCTTCTGCAACAAGTGCTTCAGATCCTCTTCAGTTTCAGCAAGCAAGATTGCATCATCTGCATAATGTAGGTTGTTCATTAGTCTTCCTCCAATCCTGATGTCACATTCCTTCTCATAAAGCCTAGCCTCTCGAATGATCTGTTCTGCATATAGATTGACAAGGTGCGGAGATAGGATGCATCGCTGACACACTCCTTTCCTGCTTTTGAACCATGATGTGTTTCCTTGCTCTGTTCTGAGGACTGCTCCCTAGTCCAGCTATAGGTTTTGCATGAGCACAATCAAGATGTGTTAATCTAGTGCAACAATGAATGAATGAAAACCCCAAATCTCTGTAAATGTTCACTAAAACTAATAAAATTTAATAATAATTTAAAAAAAAGATGTGTTAATCCCAAATTTAATCTTGAACAAGCTCAATTTTTCAAGCTCAATGAAAGATGGTTCTCTTAGTGTATTGCATCCATTTTCTCTGTCCTCTGTAGTGTTGCCTGCCTCCTTAGCTTATGAAAGGAACCTTGATAGCAGGCCTTAGAACTAGAATACTTGTGAATCTATGAATGTTACTTGAGAATCTTTTTAAAATGTGTAACTAGGATGGAAAGGCAAATGCTTAGCAGGGAACCAAGTTGTGATGAACAGGTGTGAAGCCTGCTTTGAGAGGTAGCTCTTCCACAAGAACTGTACGTATCAAAGTGGGGTGAAACCTCCTTCCTTTTTAGCTTTACAGAGGCAGCATGGTGCTGAGGACTAATAATATCCACAAAATTCTAATTTTCTCATAGGCCAAACATGTTCTACTCATGGACTAAAATGTGCAGAACAGAATTCCTTAATCTTGGCACGTGGGAGAGATTGATATAAGGAGAGAAAAAAATCTTACTGTAAACCTTTTTGGAAGACCATGGGTTTTAAAATCAGTAGTAAAGAAGAGCAACGATGTCAGCCTGGAGACTAAGGTGCATCTGATACATGTCATGGTCTTTGCAATCACTTGTTATGCATCAGAGAGCTGGACGATGACTAGGGAGGATAGAAGGAGAGTTGATACCTTTGAGCTGTGGTGTTGGAGAAGAGCATTGAATATACCATGGACTGCTAAGAAAATGAACAGGTATGTCCTGGAGAGGGTGAAGCCAGGCTGCTCCTTAGAGGCAAGGATTCTGAAGCTTCATCTGACATACTTCAGACATCTTGCAAGGAGGGACATCATGCTTGGGAAGGTGGAGGGACAGTATTGGTTCAGTGACTGGGGTAATGGGGGTAGGTGTGTCAGAGACAATGAGATTGGCACAGGATAGAGCAGGGTTTAGGGCTATTGTACATAGGGTCGCTATGAGTCGCAGGCTACTCGAAGGCACATAACAACAACAACAACAACAGATGATAATGAAAAAGAGTAAAAACCCTGAATTTAGAAGTAAAAGACCTATAGTCTTGGTACTAATATTTGATGGTTGTGCAATTTCTGGCAATTGGCATCTATGACCTTCAAATCTCAGTATCTAGGTCTGTAAAATGGGGCTAATCATACCTGGTTCATAAGTGTTGCTCTAAAGAGAAAATGAGATTTACTACATAGCTTGCTGTGAATCAGAGAGCTGGACAATGACTAAGGATGACAGAAGAATTGATGCCTTTGAGTTGTGGTGCTGGAGAAGAGTCTTGAACATACCATGGACTGCCAAGAGAACAAATAATTCTGTCTTGGAGAGGGTGAAACCAAATTTCTCCTTGGAGATTAGAATTCTGAAGCTCCATCTCACATACTTCGGGCACATGGTCAGGAGGGACCGGTCCTTGGAAAAGGACATGGTGTTCGGAAGGGTAGAGGGACAGTGCAGGATAGGAAGACTCTGAATGTGATAGACTGATACAGTAACTGGGGCAATGGGTATAGGTGTGTCAGAGTCAGTGAGATTGGCTCAGGATAGGGCAGGCTTCAGAGCTATTGTACATAGGACAGTAACTGGGGCAATGGGTATAGGTGTGTCAGAGTCAGTGAGATTGGCTCAGGATAGGGCAGGCTTCAGAGCTATTGTACATAGGGTTGCTATAAGTTGTAGGTGACTCGATAGATAGCACATAACAGCAACAACATGGAACTTATGTAGATTTAACCACACTGCTTTAGTTATAGGGAGCCCTGGTGGTTTTGAGGTAAAGCTACCAAACCCAAAGCAGGCAGTTAGAATCCACTAGCTGCTCCACAGGAGAAAGATGGGCAGTCTCCTCCCCTGTGATTTACAGCCTCTAGAAATCTGCTGGAATGTCAGTTATGAGTTGGTTCCAATTCAACAGCACATAACAACAGTTTTAGTTATGGACTTATGTTGACATAAATGTCATATTTCCTTTACTCTCATCCCCCGCATTCTCCTATACTATCAGACTCCTAAATATAGTTTAATACCTGTTTGTTAGTTGAAGAAATAGTGGTCTATTCTAACAGCAGAGGAAATATTGGCTGTGTCAGTCTTAACGGGAGATGGTGTATCTACATGGTCTACTTTTTGTGTAGTTCTGTTTTTGTTTTCAAGGATAATTTTCCTTTTAAATACCAATTTTAGGCTCTAAACCCCTGGAACAATGTGACTCAAACAGGCAAGAGCACCTTGTAAACGTAAGTGTCTGTGTTTAAGTGGTATGGGTTCAGTTGTGTGCCATAGAGAAGAAGATTAGCAAAGGGGTGTTTCCCCAGTGATTTTGGGAGGAAAACAAAGGTGAGGAGCTTTTACGCTCCAAGCCAAGTTAAAAAAAAAATCTCTGCTCGGCTTGGATGGCCAGTATCCACCTTCCCCTGTCGCTGCGAGCCCTGTTCCTTTCATAGATCAACTCTGTGCCAACTTTATGCTCTTGAAGCAGAGAGGACATGCCAGGCAGTTTGGGAGGCCTCACAAAAATCAGTGTTACAGGGGCTTGGACCATGCTGTGATACTGATTTTTCTCCTAAAGTAGACAAAATCCCCAACACCACTCCAAATGGTATGTAATAGATACATTTTGGTGACTGTAGTAGAAATTGGGAGAATCTCTGGGCTGTACAAACAGTTAAATGCTCCGCAAATAGCCAAAAGGTTGATAGTGTTAAGTTACCCAGAGTACAAGTGTGCTGCCCTGTTTCTCACAGGTCACAGCCCTGAGAACCCTGAGGAGCAGCTCTTCTCTGTGTGTGTGTTGCAGACACAGCTAAGAATAGCGGTATCGATACGGGCCGTTCTCCCACACGTGTGGTGCACCAGTCTTACCTTGGCTGAGTCATCATGACTTTCCTCTTCTTCGGGTTCCAGGTTTTCAGTGACTGTTACAAGCTGGGTGGGCGAGGATCTTTCATCTATAGAGACTTGGGTCTCTGGAGCATCATCTTTGGGAGAAAGCCACAGGTGTTCTACAATGGGGCTTGGAGGGAAGAACTCTCTCTCCGAGGTGTCTTCTCTTTCCTCAGCACTGTTGACATCAGGCCCACTCGACTCAGCTATCTCTAGATTCTTGACCTTCTGCCTCTTTTTCCTTTTGGCTCCTGGCTTTTTTTCTTTGAGGGTTACCTCTGATTTCTTTTCAACCTTTGATTTCTTTGACTTTCCTGGAGAAGAGCAGCAGTGTAGCTGAGGTAAGTAAAGGTGGTCATCATAAATCCTCTAAGCAGCTTTAAGGCTCAGTGTCCAATATTTATTACAAGCAGTTTTAAGGCTCAATGTCCAATATCTATCACCTGCAAACAGATTCTGGAGTCTCATCCCATCCCTAGATTTGGAGACACTCGTTAGGTGACACCGAATTGAATACAACTGTTAGCAACCCTATGAAGAACAGACCTGAACCTGATCTTGTCCTGTGCAGTCCTTATAATCTCTTACACACTTGAGCCCATTGCTGCAGTCACTGTGTCAATCCGTCTGGTTGAGGATCTTCCTCTCTTTCACTGTCTCTCTCTCTTCCCAAGCATGATGTCCCACTCCAATAGAATAGCCTCTCCTAGCAAAATGCCCAAAGTAAGTGAGATGAAGTTGAATGTAGTAGGAACTTGCATTTTAACTACCACTTTAAGTGTTTGAGAAGGTCATCCACAGGGATCAAATTGGCAAATGTAAAGCAAAAGACTAGATAGGAAACTTAGGGGTAAGAGTTTATGTTAATGAGGAAGGAACAACTCCAAAAAGGAAGGTGCGAATGTCTATCCAACTCAAATAATGTAATCTGTGTCCCCAAATGGTGTGTGCTTTGTACATTTTTATCAAAAGATTTTTTTTTTAATGGGGAGAGAAAATACAGTCCATAGGCCATCATTTGAGATAATGATATTATCTGTTTGGATTAATTGCAATTCAGCAGTCTATCTTTTTAGATTTGAATAAATTACAATTCAGCAGTCTTTGCTATTGAAAAAAAAATTGCGTTTCACCCTGACCCAAGAAGGGTGTATGACTCCCGAGTGGAGTCCTGTGGACACAGCCAGAAAGTCGGACTTAAGGTTGCAGTTTGATTCCCTGGCAGAGTTCAAGCCTGCCATACTCTAGGGATTCTTCCCCCCACTCACCTCTGAAGGTCAAGCATTTCTTTGCCTCAATTCTGCCATGCAACCCAAACATATGACTACAAAAATGTAAACTTAGTTAAGAGTTTAAAAAGAAAACCTTGAAAATGGATCTGGCCCAGTGTCTATTCAGATAACCTGTGGTTTGTTGGGAGGGTTTTCTAGTTGTGTGGCTGGAAAGAATGGGTGGCATTTTAGGCTAAAGGGTCTTCAGCAGGATAGGAATCTAAGTTCCTTGTCAGACTTGCAAGAGAGATATTTCAATGAAGGGAACTGAGAAGGAAAATGGTAACTGGAGTGATTTCCCAAGCTTGTTGCAAATCCACTCCCCTCGTAAATGTTCTCACCACACAAGCCTCAGGTTATGATATAATTACTAGATCATAATGTCATGGTAATTGCTTGTGTTTGGAGTCAGATAGGCAGAGACAGGCCTGGGTCTACCACTTACTGTTTGATCTCAGGCAAGTCTCATACAACTGCTGAGTCTCAACGGCTGTGTGAATAAAACTACAGTACATTCATGGAGATGTGAGGATTTCGTAAGATCATATACAGGCATTTGGTAAATGAAGTTTCTAGAATACAATAGACATTCAGTAGATAGAGTTCCTGCAAAGTGCAAATGATTAACATCTTCAGGTGTTACGCAAGATATTAGAGTTTTGAGTCCACCTAGGGGAGCTGATCACTTGCATCTGAGAGCTGGACAATGAATAAGGATGACAGAAGCAGACTGATGCCTTGGAGTCGTGGCGTTGGCAAAGTGTACTGAATATCCCATGGACTTTCAAAAGAATGAACAGGTATGCCTTAGAGAAGGTACAGAGTGCTCTTTGGAGGCAAAGGTGACAAAATGTTGTCTTTTATACTTTAGACATGTTGCTGGGTGAGGCTATTCCTTGGAAAGGGAGCTCATTCTTGGAAAGGTCAGGGTGAGTGAAGAGAGGAAGATCCCAGTCAAGATGGATTGACATGGTGACTGCAGCAACAGGCTCAAATGTATCAGAGATGATGGTCAGGTCAGTTTTATGTATTGTTCATAGGATCGCTATGAGTCATACTTGATGACACGCAACAACAAGATGGAACTTGGCAGAAAGGCTTAGTGATCTGCTTCTAAAAAAATCAACCACTGAAAACTCAGTGGGTCATAGTTCTACTGTGACACACATGGAGTCATCATAGGTTGAAGTTAACTCAGTAACACCTGATTTCCTGGTTGTTCAGTAAGTTGTTGCTGCTGTCATCATCATCATTTCTTCTCTTGGTGATCATAGACTTCTAGGGTCCCCGGTTTCCTCTCCTTGTCTACTAAGATACTTGCCTCTCTGTCCTTGAGCTGGAAATGACTCAAAGTTGACCATCCAGCAGGTTTTCAGAAGCTGAAAAAATAATGCTGGAGGAAATTGCTCAGAGCGGCTGATGGGTGAGAACCACCTGCTGCTAGGTTGGCAGTGCAACTCTTTTTCCACTAGGTGACTAGAGATAAGGAGACTCAAACAGAACTCGCCCCACAGGATTCACACTGGTTCTTGCCAACCCCATCCCCACTCATTAGGAACTGATGCTACTTTACCAACAGCAGCTTCTGTTCCACTGTGGATCTTTCCTTCTCTCTCCCCTGTAGGGACTTTGAACTTGTCTGTCTTTGTTCTTTTCTTTCTCTTGGCTTTGTCAGTCAGTTCCTTCTCCTAAAGGTGAGAAATTAAGAAAAGGGACCATGATATGTGTGGCAAAATAAACAAACAAAAAAGCTCATCAAAGGAAATGTATATTTAACAAGGTAAAAGGATAAAATTCATATGGGTTCCAGATGAAGCAGAAGAGCGAGGTCTTTAAGAGTGTGGAGCCTTTGGGGAGAGCCCAAGGTTCAGCCTTTGATTTTAAACTGCTAAGTATATTTTCACAAGAGAAAAGAGGAACAGAATCCACTTTATGACCCGCCTCCTTTTTTTTTGATGCTAAACCATGGTCTCCAGAGCTGGATCAAAGTGAAGCAGTTTTCACCTTTGATTGATTGGTGTTGCCATGATTAATGGTTAGTTATTTGAAATCAAAGCCAGCTTTATTCAGTGCTGCATTGTTTGCTAACTTTCTGGAAAACCTCAGACAGATGTTCCCAACCCTTTCCTTCTTCACCTGTACCTAGGGTTAGGACAGCATGGAAGCTCCTTCTAAGACAAGGTAGCAGAGTGGATACCGCTACCCAGTCAAGATTCTTGCAGGGATTGGAAACCACCTCCCGCTCCATCCTTCAAGTACATGCAGACACATCTTGGGGTTGGTGAATGGACCACAAGCTGGATTTCCTTACCACACAAACTGCCCTCTTGTGTAGTAAATGATCTACACAACTGTATATGGTAATCTTGATGGTTGAGCATGATCCAGATTGGACTTTCAGACCAGGCTCCTGGGTATTCACACTCACAGTACTGATGCTGGTGGGTGTCCGCTGTTTGAACCGTCTTGTTTCAGGTCTTCTTTCTCTTTCTCCTGGGAGAGTTGATGTAGCTACAGCATCTACTCTCTCTTGTGTCACCAGCTCATGTCCTGGAAGTCCTCTGTGCAGGGGGTGTCTATCATTATCTCTGTTCCTTTGAAAAGAGCAAACCAACAGGACCAACTTTATGAGATCACTGTCTGGTAGATAAGGAAGAGGGATTTCAGCCTTTTTTGTACCAGGCCTCATGCTGGGCCATTTACACACTTGTTCAATACTTCCACCCCTCAACCTATCTTTGAATAAGGGAGATCAGAAAGTTTGGTTTTCATTTTTGAGGTTCTTTTGGGAGTAAATCCTCAACTTTAGGGAGAGAGAAGAGGGAAGTACTAGTTTTACTGTTTATCTCTTCAGGGTTACATACTTATACCTGTAATTGAATGACAGGGAGCTCTGGTGTCCTGGTGGGTAAGAAGTTGTGCTGCCAAACCGAAGGCAAGCAGTTCAAATCCACCAGCTGCTCTGTTTGAGGAAGACATGCAGTCCCCTCCTGTGTGATTTATAGTCTCAGAAAACCAGCAGGAGGGTCAGCTATGAGGCGCTCCTACTAATTGGCACACAACAAAAACAATTGATGGACATAAAATCATGTAATTGAAATGTCTTTCTTTAAAATTTAGCTAAAAAAAGATTTTTTTAGGAAGGATTGTCTTCTTGTTGTTATTAGGTGGTGTTGAGTCAAGTACAACTTATAGCGACCCTATGAACAACAGATCTGAACCCTGTCATATCATGTTTCACTTTCATCATCTCTGACACACTTGAGCTGCAGTCACCGTGTCAATCCATGTTGTTGAAATTCTTCCTCTTCTTCACTGACCCTCCACTTCTAAGCATGATGTCCCTTTCCAAGGAATAGCCCTTCCCAACATGCTCAAAGTTCACTATTCTTGCCTTTAAGGAACAGTTTGTGTATTTCAGACTCTGAATTATATTCTTTATCAAATTCAGCAATCAAAAGGTCATATGCTGTGTTAGTTTTTTTCATTGTGGAATTTCTATCACTGACTGTATCCTGAGGATAATTGACTGATGTCCTCTGGGTCAAAAGACCACTAAGAGCCAGTCACGTGTGTTTTAGTAACAGCAGCCTTGGCTACTAGGCACTGAGCGCCTGCTGTGTCCTGGCTCAATTCTGGGCATTTGCTTTTTCGCCAAGTCAGTGTTCTATTTACTGCACTGTGCTGCATAGGGCCTTATTGTAGAGACGTGAGAAATATTTGTTGAATGAGGTAAGTGGAATTTCCTGTAAAGATAGGAGTCTTTAAATCATTCAATGTCACTCTATAAAAACTCACAGAAGAAGTCTCCTTTAGAATTTACTGCTAGAAGAAAAACTTTATTTTCCCTGAGGAACAGGTAAAGCTGCAGAGGAGAACCACAGGACTGGGCTGCTCTTTTGCTTGTGTGTTGTTTTTTTTTTTTCAAAGATTTTCTTCCTTCAGGAATCTGTGTCGAGTCCAAAATTCAGTTCCAATGACTCCTGTGGAGAGTTTGTGTTCTATTTATTTTATTTTTTTTAGTTTCCCACACAGTGAATATTTTTCTTTTCTTTTTAAAAATTTTATTAATTTTAGTGAAAGTTTACAGAGACTTAGGGTTTCCATTCGTTCACTGTTGCACTTTTCTCCCTGCCCACCCCTCGCCCCAATCTTTTTATTTTCCAAGTTGTGATTTGAGTGAAGGTTTACAAAGAAACTTAGCTTTTCATCCAACTGCTTATGTACATTTTGTTCTATCACCTTAATTATATACCCCCTGTAATACCACCTTTCCCACTGCCTCCCTGCAATTCTGCTTCCATTTAATCCTCCTTTATGTCTCCGTGTCTTCCCCCTTTTAAGGGATGTTGCACCACTCATCTCCTTATTGTATATCATTGCTTTCCCCTTCACTTGGTTTTTGATTTTAAAAAAAAAAGAAAAATCATTTTATTATGAGTGTAAGTTGCATCTATTCTTTTTGTTGGTTGTTGTTTGAGGCAGTTTAAGTTTGCTGTGGAACAAGATAAGGTATGAGAATGGTCAAGAACAAGATAAGGTATGAGAATGGTCAAATGGAAATTCCTCAGTCATCTCAGTGCACTCTCCAGGGGCGGCTTATCCAGTAGGCAGGGTGAGCACAGGCTTGCTTGCTTGTAGTGAACCATTTCCGATGGGCTTCACTGTACGATGTGTATGACACGTGTGAGATAGTTCACAATAGATCAGGAAGTCTGTGCTTATTCAGCTTGTTTGTTAATCTGACACTTAACTGTGTTTCTGAGGAATACGTGGCCTTTTTGATCATTAAGGTAGGTGAAGGCAGATGATTCTCTTCCTAACAAGGCTCATGTTGTTAGATGCTGTGGAATGGTTTCTGATTCATGGTCATTCTATATGACAGAGTATAACTGCCCTACAGCATTTCCTAGGTCATTGATGTCTCTGAATGTGCGTGTTCAGAACCACCCTGGACTGCCAAGAGAGCAGGGGGCTCTGGTGGCATGGTCCAGAGGAGTTGTGCAGCTAACTCAATGCCTGTGCTTCTCTGGCAATTTGAATTCAGCAGCCCCTCCTCAGGAGAAAGATGGGAAGCCTTCTCTTGCGAGACTTATGGTCTTGGAAACAAGGTGGAGGGTCAGCTATGAGTTGGAATGGATTCAACAGCAATAGGAGCTAAAGGAACCAATAAGTCTTGAAAGAAATGCAGCCAAAGTGCTCTCTGAGGCAAGGATCGTGAGATTTTATCTCACATACTTTAAGCATGTCAACAGGAGGGGCCAATCCATTGAGGAGAACATCATGCTTGAAAAATTTCGAGGATTAGCAAAAGATAGGAAGATCCTGAAAGAAATGGATTGATTCTATGAGTGCAACAATGGGAGTAAGCACAGCCAAGATTGTGAGGCTGGCGCGAGATTGGGTAGGGTTTTGCTCTGTTGTACATAAAGTGGCTTTGAGTTGAAGTTCATGAACAACTGTCCTTGTGGGAACAGATTTCCAGGTCTTTTCTTCTTTGCATCTCCCTGTAGGTCCTAATCATCAACCTTTTGGTTAGCAGCCAAGTATTTAACCATTGTGATGCCAGGCCTCCTCAAGGTTCATGGGAGATCACAATGATCAGGGGTTCAAGGTGTGAGGCAGAAGCAATAGCACCAGCTGCTATTGCCAAAGAGACCTTAAATCAAATGAGCCTGGGACATCAATGAACTTGACTTTTAATATACATTAAAAGGCCCTGGATGCAATAAGCACTCAATGGAAATTAGCAATTCCATTGAATTGCCCAGAGCTAAATTCAGGCAGTTTTAGATTGTTGTTGTTGTTGATTGCCATATGAGTATGACTCATAGCGATCCTACGAACAAAAAGCCTGAAGCCTTTCTATAACTATCGACTTTTACAAGGTTCATAGAGTTTCTGGAGAGAGGCGTGTTGTTTAGGAAGTGGATGCCTCTCCTGCAACTCCTACTTGTCCTTTAATACTGTGTACATTCACCCTCACCCTGAACAGACCAAACTAGCCCCTTCCTGCAACGAATTCTTCGGCATGATCACCTTTTTCTTGCTGCATATGCAGCTTTTATGTCATTGGGAAGGTTCTGAGCCTTTTCTTGCACTCCCCAAGAAAACCTCTGCAAAGCTGATTCCAACTCATGTTGATATTCTATTGGATTTTGTAAAAATTGGATATTGTAAAAATCAATGAGAAGAGACTGCCTAGCTTTCCCTTTCTGAGCAGTTGGTGGATTTGAACCACTAACCTTTTGGCTAGCAGCATGACACAAAACATGTTCCTTCTTGCCCAAACTAAATGAAACCTGTTATCAAGGTGGTTCCAACTCATAGCGACCCTCATCAAGTTCCAGTGCGGCAAATCCTTATCCAGTGTGTGGTCCATGGGGAGTCGTAGGGCTGACCCCAAGGCCAGGCCTCTAAGGCAGTTCACATCCTTCTCAGCAGCTCTGCAAGAGACACATGGACAATCTCCTCCTGTGTGATTTATAGCTCCAGAAACCCAACTGAGGGTCAGGTCTATGAGTTGGTTCTGATTTGACATGAGAGGTTTTGAGTTAAATCTTCATAGGAGGAGACCGCTTATCTGTCTCTCTGAGTAGATTTGAACTATTGGTCTTTTGTGTAACAGCCTGACACAGGAGAGATCTTTTCTTGCATAGAGTAAGATGAAAAAGATCTACATGGACCTGTTTTGACTTACCTACAAATCCTTAAAGACCCAGTTAGGAAGGCTTCTAACCCTGTGACTGCCTCTATGTCCTGAGAGGAGAAACCAAGGCTTGAGGTGACATACCTCAGGTTTCCAGGTATTTCTGTAGATCCAGGTATTTCTGTAGATTGCAGATATATGGACGAATAGAAAAAGCAGCTTCTATATTGCTACAGTTAAACTTCACAAATTACCTAGTCAGTCAAGATGTTACATCACAATATCATCCTCCCCAGGAATCTTTGTTTCTTGGACAATGGTTTAATTCTGACTGTCAGAGCTCATGCCTCTCAGGAAAAGAAAGAAACTGAACTAAAATGAAATGAAAGTGGAGATGTCCTTGCCATTGCAACTTTAGATACTTACACCTTTTGGACAGAGTGAGGCTCCAGGACCTGACTGTGCTCATGCAGGGAAGAACTGAGAGGCCTTGGGTCTGTGAAAACAAAGAGCAGCCTCAGTCAGCAACGGGCACAGATTTGATCACGAGATGAGGGGCAGGCAGGGGATGCAAGCATGGGGAAACATCTGCCAGGTGAACAGTCAAAGTTATGCAAGTGAAAACATGAGCCGTGTTATACCTAGAAATGAGCCAGTGCAGAAATCAGGGCTGGCACACCGCAAGTGACATGCAAATTAGCAAGACCCTTTGGGAAGGCAATATGACAATATGTTTCAAGAACCAGAAAAATGTCCCTAGCTGTTGATTGAGAATCATACTCAACAAAAGATACAAGCTTTTTTGCATCAGCTTATTTATTGCAACATCATTATCATTCATAATGAATAACTGGAGACGAGCCATCATTCGAAGTCCAGAGAAGTAATTCATGACATTAGTTTGACACAAATGATTACGCTAAGAAGACGAAGTAATATGGAAAATATTATATGACAAGCTAAAATGGAAGCTATAGAACAATGTATTAGAACTCAGTAAAAAAAATAGATAAGAACTAGAAGTGGAAACAACAAAAGGAACTAATGTTAGATTGGGAGATTGTTTTTTTAAAGCTCGATGTAGTGATAAATTGTTTAAAACAAAACACACGTTATCCTATAAGCAAGGTTTATGCAATCACACAGTTCTCTTTGATGAGGACTCTGAGATCATATTGGGTAACTCCTTAAGAAGAAGAGTCACAGGGTCTTGCATGCAATTAATTTCTTTCCCCTCAATTTCTTCCGGAGGAGGATTTGAAAAGTTAATCCATCATCCTTTAGCATTATTTCATTAATACTGCAGTAAATTCCTCTGTTAGGGTTCATTCCCTGCTCCCCGCCCCCAATAACCCCTTTTCACCTTGTTTCGCATTTCCATTTCGAAACTTTAAGGTTAGCATCTACTGTTTCACATCGCAACCCCAGATTGTGGTGGTGGTTGTGGCTGTTTGCTGTGGAGCTGACCATTCAGCAGGTTTTCAGAGGCAGTAAATTGCACGGGAGAAGATTGCCTGTCCTTTTCCTGTAGAGCATCTGGTGAATTTCAGCCTCGTGCCTTTGAGATTACAGTGCAGCTTCTTACCACTAGACCACCAGAGCTCCCCTTACCCCTCCCTTACTCTCTTATTCCCAGGTTGTAGAGTGGGGACAAAATTGTTACTGCACAAGATACTAGGATGATTGGGGTAATACCTTGGAATTTATTCTGTTTTGGATAATATGTAATACAGTAAGCGACAGCTGATTGAAGTACCTTTGTGATAAGAGGAATTATATGAAGTTTTGTTTATGAAGGCGAATAGTTTAGGAAACAGCACTTTTAGGATTTGGAGTTTTGGAATGAGACACGAGTGTACCAGCAGAGGGCGCTTTTGTATTGGCCAAAAGCTGAATTCAACATTGATAACATTTGACCATTTTTTATTAGAATTGAAACTGTCAGTTGTGGGCGTGGACTACGGAAGGATTTCTTCCCCCCACCCCTTAGTAAAATAACTTGATGTTTAGGAAGTATTGGAACAAAGGCAGTCCTTTGACTAATAACTTAAAAACTCTTCGCTGCTTACCAAATCTGTAAGATATCTGAAGCATGCTAATTACAGGAAAAAATCCCATATAATTGTTGTCTGTACGGGTATATTAACTGGGAGATCTCCACATTTTGTTATGATAGAGTCACATTTTTCCTAAATAAATGAGACAATCCAGAAACAGTGCAGGTGTTCATTTTGTCACTGTGTAAACCCTCTCTCTTCATTCTCTCCTCTAAGGCGATTTAATGTTTTAAATTTGGGGGCTTTCAGCCCCTCCTCACTGGAAGCTCTGGTGGTGGAGTTCAGAGGCAGCTGTGTTGCTGACTCAAGGGTGGTGCTTCTCTGGCCGTTGGGATCTTCAGCACGCTGATCATTGGGAGAAAGATGAGCAATCGCCTCCTGTGATTTAGTCGCTGAAACCAGCTGCAGGGTCAGCTCTGAGTCCCAGTGGCAATGATGAGTTTGAGGTGGTTTGGTGCTTTTTTTTTTAAATCAGTCCTCATGCAAATTTTAATACTTTGCCACATATAAATGCAGCCACAAACAACATATGGTATTGTTTTACACATTTAAACTTTATGTAAGTGGTATTTTTAATATAACATTGCATCTTGCTTTATGTTTAATATTATGTTTTTGAGGTTAATCATATTACTATATATAGCTTTCACTCATTTATTTCATCTTGAAGCTACTGTACAGTATTGCATTGTATGAACATATCACAATTTGTTTATTCTTTTTTTTTCCACAGATGTTCAAAGTTATTATTTATTTAAAAAACAAACACTACCACTTTGAAATCCTCACTCATTGCCCTTGAGGCTGTAAATATCCCAGGAGGTGACGGCTGCTTTCTCCCAAGGGGAAAACCCAATTGCCGAGAAACTTAGCCTTTGGCTCAGCGGTGCAACCCCCCCCCCCCCAGACTCCGCCAGAGCGCCCTTAAGAGTCATAAAACACTGATAATAAAGGTCGATCATAATGGTGGGAAATGGCAATGCTAATGAAAACTTGAAAAAAGAAATAAACGTATTTTGTCTTACATCAAAACTGGTTTGTGAAAGAACAGTGCAATCCAAACCCCCATGTAAGAGACTGTACTTAGCCCTAAATAGGTGTTTCTTGAGAGGACCGGGCACATTTCACTACATTCATTGCCTCTGTTTCCATTAGAAACTTCTGGCACGTCGGGGCCCATGAGAGGACTAGGGGTGGGGAGACCTCATCTATATGCACAGGAGTTCTCTCACCCTGAGACTCCTGAGGCCAGCACATAAGGAGTGAAGGGACAAGACAGAACAGGTCCACGCATAACTAAACAATGTCAGCTAGGTTAGTGTCCCATCTCCTTGTTCACTGCCAACCTCTCAGTACCAACGCATAGCTGACCTTTCAGCAGGTTTTCAGAGGCTTGAAACTGAGCGAACGGGAGGAGGAGACTGCCCATCTGTCTCCTGTAGAGCAGCTGGTGAATTTGAACTGGTGTCCTTTGGGTTGGCAGAGCAATGTCATGGCTCTGAAGGTAATTAAACAAGATGAGGTGATAAATGACCACACCCAGTAAGGAACACTTTAAAACAGGGAGGAGAACTTCTCTTTGCAGGCTCCCTTCCACCTGAGAACCAAATGCAGAAAGTGGTAACAACACCCATCAGTCTTGCTAGAAAGACCATGTAGTCTTTGGACTAGCAGTGAACTTTGTAGGGAAAAGGCCACTGGACTTTCCAAGGAAAGAAAAAGCCAGACTCCAAAGCAAATCCGTTGCTGTCAAGCCAATTCCAACTCCTAGTGATCTTACAGGACAGAAGCGCCCCAGAGGGTCTGGGAGGCTGTCAATCTTTATGGGCAGGTTGCTTCAATTTTTTTTTTCCAAAGAGGGATGGATGGGTTCAAATTGCCAAACTCTAATTTAGGCAACCAAACCCCTTAACCACAGGTCCACAGGAGCATCTGAAACAGACTCCCCTCAAAGCAACCCTAGAAGACGTAGAACTGTCCTGTACTGTAGGGTTTCCGAGGCTACAAACCTACGTCCTTCCTTTGAGGAACAGCTGCTGGGTTTGAACTTCAGACTTTGAGGCTAGCAATCAAGCGTTTTAACTACTATACCCCCAGTGCTTCTTGTAAGCAACCCACAATCTTTGAGGTCAACAGTGGGGTCAACTTCCATCAGATTTGTGAGGCTGTAAATCTTTACAGAATACTTCCCATCTTTCCTGCCCAGAAGCATCTGATGAGTTTGAACCATTAACCTTTCAGATAGCAGCCCAACCCTTAACACTTTAAGCCACCAGGGTTATCAAGAAGCAAATGGAGGGGAGGGGAGAGAGACATAGGATTTCACTTTTTAAGTATCTTTGTATTCCCTGGAAGATTTAGGGAGCTTTTTACCGGGGAAGAGGGGGGCCTGGAGTTTTATCTCACAATACAGATGGGGAAAGGAGCGCTCTCTAGTGGTAACAAGCTTTAACATGTCACATCCATTCCCTGGACAGAGCACACTGGCCACTAGACTATGGGCTGTTTCTGAGTTTCAGTCATTCTTGCCTTTCTCCCATCTCCAGGGTGTCACAGTAGTCCCAGGGAATGCTTTGGATGCAGGGAATGGAGCTGACACCTTAGAGACCGTTCTGAGCCCCCATCGCACCTCTACCC